AGTTTTTGCCACATGTAATTATGTTAAAGTATATTTCCAATGAACTCTCCTTTATTTATTTATTTTTTTGTAACCAATGTAGCTTAGCTTCATTTTGGAAAGTGTGTTTTTTACGTTTATTATGTAGTTATATTTGAAAACATATCTTATAAGAAACTAGAAGTCTTAAGCATTGTATTTCAATATGCTAGAAATGCTGAATTTAAACTTACGCAAACAAATATTGCTATTTTAACTAGAAGCCAGTTTTATTGTTATATTTTCTTCATTAAGTTGCTCACTAGAAAGGTGAGAAAGTTCATAACCGTATTATAATGACAACAACCCACTGACGTTTCAGGGTTGTTCGGTTTCTTCGTTTATTGTCACAAAATTAGCAATTTGTTCCAGACTTCTCCATTACAGCTAGAATCCTCATGAGGCTATCTGGGAAACAGTAAAATGTTAATGAAATTGCGAGCGTAAACAGTCGTCTAGCAACTGAAAGCATGTTATTTCTGATGTGGTGTATTTATTTCAAACGTTCATATAACTTTTATTGGCACAGAAGCAGCCCTTTCACAAAGAAACAAGAGAAAGAAGTGGCGTTATGTTAGTAAAGCGAAAAGCATACATAGTCAAGTGACTTTTCAACTTACAGAGGCTTAGTCTTTACAAACTTTCACTATTATTTCTATGGTTGAAAATTTACCATTAGAACAGGTTTGAGCTAAGAAATTATGAAAATACTTTGTTCGGAAATAGTGATTGCCTTTCCAGGGGATGTCAGATGTCAAACTGTTATGTTTACAGGTTAGCTGTTGTTGCCTCGTGTCAAGCAGATTGAAAAAGTAGAATATTGACAGATATTACTATCGTTGAATGACGTAGAATGTCTCGAGATTATGTCAATAATGTTGCTTGAAGAAACAATTTAACGAAACGGCACAAATTCAACAAATATAACTAAATAATTCATAGCTGAAACTTTTTTCTTGTTGTAGACACATTCTGATCTGAGTAAACAGTTATATCAAATTTACTTCTTTATTCTTCTGGAATTTTCCAACCCTTAGGGGGGAACAAGGTTATACACACACACACTTTAATTTGATAGTATAATTGAATAATTTACAAGAGATTCTTTTAGATGGCATGGGGGTTTTGTTAATGAATTGGTTGGAACATTTCCTTAACTTTTTACTGTTAGATGAGTAAATTATTATCAGAATGGCGGTACTTGATCAATCCTATATCTTATATATATATATCTAAAGCACAAAAGTCTATGTGTCTGTCTGTTTGTCCGTTATCTAACTAGTCCCAGGCTGCTGGGCCAATCTCAACCAAACTTTGTGGATATGGTAGTTTGGAACAAGAGGCATGTTAATGGGAATTCACAACTCACTCCATCCCCCCCCCCATTATTGCTGCTATTGAACATTTATTATCTTAGACGTAAGTTAACGTTGACTATATTCATAGACGGCGCCACGTCCTTACACCTAAAAACTTTATTAAATTTTCTATAGCACAGCTTACACACAGTGTGAGTAGAGATCACAAAAACGTATTATATATCTCAGACTGTGCATTAGCACTCTTTATGGAGGAATGCAGTGAAAAAAATGGCCACCATTATTGCAATAATACATAAACTCAACTGAGGTTTCTATTCCAGCAGTCACAATAAAGCAGACATGAAGAGCCCTTTCTTGAGTTATACTCACTTCCTACTTTGACCCGTGACCTTTCAAATTCGAACCGTAAGACACTTCTGCGGCCAATGACAGTTAATTAATTTATCACGTGAAACATTGTGGATTAGAGCTGGGTGCTGAAAGCGGGTAACAGAAATCACGCATACGGTGACCTGCTGCCAGTATTTTGGCCGCTACCTCTTCCTACAATGTCACCAAGACCATCGCACAGTGTATACGATATATTAAGTATATA